AGCATCAAAAAAACATAAAATCAGCTGTCACTTGACAGCAAGAGGTAAAAGCCAAGGCCTGAAAACACTGATTGATAATTTTAGTAGACAAAAGTCTACTAAAAGAAGAATAATCTTGAGCAAAGTCATAGCAAATAGAACTGTGGTACAGAAAAAAATCTCAGCCTTCCTGAAAACTTGTGGCAGTTTCTCTGCTACACATTGATAGGATGTATGTATGTGCATCACAGGTATTTATAAGGGATCAAGGCTTGCAACAAGTAGTTTTTCAGTTCTTCCTGCAGTCAATACCTCAAAGTGGCTAAAAAGAGGGTTCTTCACACTTTGTAGAGACATGCACCATTCAGGTACAGAGTTACAGTCTGTTGCCAGTCTCCATCCCTGAGATCAGACACACAGGAGATCGTCACTGCTCCTGCTCTTCTCAGCAGAAGGTTATGGGTTAAAACTAAATACATCCATTTCACAATTAGAAACATATAATTATGGACACTTTTATTTGCACTTAGATTTAAGGTAGTAATCCATATCCAAAGAGAAACTCAGAATTCTCAAACATTTCTGCAAAGACTATTTTCAAAATTTACTGAACATGTTATATATAGAAATACTTAAATAATGCTATTTTACCTAGTTGCTGGACACCCATAAAAATCTGTTTTTAATTGCAAAACTTGCAAAGACCTCAAAATATAATTTTATGCATTCCATTTAATTGCCAGTTTGTCTACAACATGCAGGTAGTAAAAAAAAAAAAAAAGAGAGACTACTAATTGATCATCACATGTAAACAGCCTCAGCTCTGGGCTCAAATAAGCATTTTCAGTGTGTAGCTGGCCACTGACAAGTGCCAATTCTAATCACTTAGCTAACTTTGAAAGGGAAAATAAACCCCAACAATATAACACTTCAACATGCTGTGTATGACCTTGATTCTTACCATTCACATACTGAGAATACTCTTTTAGCTAGATTCAATCTGCTTTATATGCACACATTGCTAACAGAATTATTTATGATAGCAGACTCCTAAAAAACATTTTGAGGTTCTTCTTATTAGACAATTATCATTAGCTACAAATTGACTACAACTCCTCAGCTAGAGCATTACATGCATATTCCATTTGGTTCAGCATAAATGTCACGTGCTTCTTCACTCACACACTCAGCTATAATTATATAAGTCTTAAAGATCAGTTCTCAATAAAATCTAAGGTAAAAAAACCTCCGCAAGCGTTCAAATCCTGTTGAATCACATTTCAAAATATTTAGGAAGCACTGAAGGTTTTTGGGGGTCTGGTTATTTCATATAGTAAGGTAAGTAGGTAAGGTAAGTATGTAAGGAATTCAGAATGATGCAAAAATGATCTGTGAAATAAAGTTTGCATTTCCCTGTTTCAGCACACACTGAGGACAAAAGTGTTTCTGATACTTTTCTTGAATTACATGCATTATACTTTACTATTAACCAGCATTTATTGCCTCATAAGAGGGTAAAAAGGCTTCTGTTTGATCTTACCTTGTACCACTACATGTTAGAGGATCCTAGCTTTTTCTGCTGGGCACCTCATAACCAGTTAATCCCAAGGCACTTATTTAAAATCGCCCATGGCATGCACAGGCAGCAAAATTATGTGTGTGGAGTGTTCTATAGCTGGAATAAATCAGTTGTACATGGAAATCTCACCTATTGCCTTTTGCCTATATAACTTATAGTTCCTCTTTCTCCACTTGTATATCATAGAAAGCAGATATGAACCTTGGTGCTTTGATCAGCCTAAGCTAAAGATGTGCATACACCTCTGCAGTGCAGACTCTGATCATGGCTTTTACAAGGCCATTGTGAAAGGAGTCAGAATTTATCCCAGCACATAGCTCCATGTATCATTAAGCATGAGAGTAGTACTGGAACAATATTAGTATGTGGTAGAAAAATTTAATAAGGAAAGATGCTTTGATTTGTTTCAGTGATCCATATCATTATTCAGCATGGAGAATGCATCTGCTAAAACATTCAGCAGTACCTGGCTCGTTGATAGCAGCAGATTGTTGCTTTCTGTGGAGAATAAGACAGCTGTGATTTCTGCTCTGTACCTGCTGCCCACCCACATTGCACCTGCAACAGCATCAGTTCTACTTGTAATGTAAGGATCTAATACACAAATCAGGAAACATTTTAGCTGTTGTTGGGCTGAGCTAGTCATCTCTCAATCACTTTAAATAAGATCTTTTTGCTGCTAGCTTTGATCTCCCTATTCTTAAGAAACAAAAATTGAAAGTGTTGACATAAAAAGATTAGATCATATTAAACTGAATCAAAGAAAGTGTCAGCTTTACTGCTTACTAGGAAAAGACCAGGAAAGCAATATCCTCACCTAAATTGGTTTTAGACAGATCTAGGAGTTGAGCAGTTCCAGTAAGAGTTCGATTCTGCTTCCAAATTTATGTGATTTCAGACTCCAGTGATTCAAATTTCACAAGGACCAGCAAGCTCAAAAGGCACCAAATTTCTTTCCTGAAAATCATGTTATATGTCTTTCACTACCCTGGGCAAAATTTGTCATCCATGGTCACGACTGAGCAAAACCAGAGAAATAAGTACTTTCTGTCCAGAAGAAAAAATCTGTACAGAAATTTAATATGCAGCCATATTCAAAATGGTGATTTGTGAGTTTTGATATCCTGTCCATTAATATTATTACTCTTCAATCCCCACTGAATTTGTGCTACTTTGAGTTAAAGTTCAGACCTACTGTTCATTTTTGGTCACATTATTCTATTACTGTATAAAAATAAAAAGAGGGCCTGAAACAATCTGCTCAAAGGTTGGCCAAAGCCCTTCTTTTGACTTGGGCTGTGGAACAGTCCCTTAGTAGTATTACTATCATCTTCCCAGTTTTAGTATTGAGTATTTCAGATATTCAGTTGATTTTATAACTTTGAGCTTAATTCTAGTTTATTGATCAGGGTGAAGGGCTTACTTTCACATTCAGAGAAATTTCCAGCTGAAATAAAATGAGACTTTCCTAACAAGAATCACACAAGAGATGTATTGTTAAAATCCTCAGTTCTGTTTGATTCCAAATCCAGAGGTGTTGAGAGATATTTCTTCACGAATTATGAATTCAAGGATTCTTTCATCATTAATGTATAATTGACCTTTTCTGACCAGACTACTAGTTTGCTGATTTATTTTGATAAATAAATAAATGAATAAAACAAAAATCTTCAAAATACTTTTGTTGAAACTTGCATACATTAGGAATGCCACAAGTTAAAGAAAGGGAAAATATCCTCCGACATAGAAGCTGGTACACTGGCACTCAATTAGATTTTGACCTTCTTTACCTATAAATGATTGGTAGACAGACATTGTTTGCTGCTGGCCTGAATTAAATTGGGTCTCCTGAGATGCATATGAAGTAATTTTAAAAAAACTGTTAACTGAATTTACTCAACCATCAGTCTGAAGCAAACATTATTTACTGTATTCATCTGTTAAACTAATATAATCTTTCATATTTTAATCAGAAAAAAGTGACATTTAATTAGTGTTACACAGCCAAGACTTGAAGAACCTCCCCCGTCTGAGCGTTCATCTAGGCTATCATTTTTCAGTCTCACCACAATGAGTCTTGTATGCTTTTATGCTTCCCTTGGTCAAAGCAAACTACAGGATTGTTTTATTAATTCAACTGCCTGACACCCTCTCTCAGCAGGAATAAGCACTCTTTTCACAATTTCATACAAATCACATATTTCGGCTCAACTGCTTTTCACTGCAAGGATTGGAACCATCTACTTTCCCAAATCCTTACATTTCCTTGAGTACATTCATCATTTTTTTAAGAACTTGTGGTGGTTGAGACAGAAATATTAGTTTATAAAAATAAAACAAAACAAAAAACCAAAGAAAATCAATCAGTCATAATATCAGCGATCTACAGGTCTAGACACACCAACAAAAAAAAAAAAAAAATCCAAAAGCCCTGTGCACGTGACTACCATACCTTCCCTTCTACTTTTTTCAGCTAAGAGCTACAGAAATGTTCTTCTGTTGAGTGGTTTCAGGCTATGACTTGGACATCCTTGGCTGTTCAGTTTGGCTGAATGCTCAGTTTCTTTCATCCTGAAGTGCTGAAATTAAGCAGGTTACTTCAGCGATGGCATATTTCTATTTCTGCCCAAGTTTCCAGCATGTGTCTTCTTTTCTCTTCATGTCTACTACTTCTCTCATACACTGATTTGTAAAATTGACTGGTTTTTGTTCTAACTGGGGACTTTAGAAACTCTCCACTCTCAGCCTTATCAAGAAATTAAAGATAACTGGTTTTACATCAAATTTGGACAGCTCATTGGGCTATGGCACTTCTACCAGGGTGGTGGCTGTTGGGGTTTAATGGTTCCTAGGTGCTTTGGGTCCTAAGTAGCTTGGCAGTTCTGATATTATATCAAACCATTCTAATGATAAAGGACTTTCATAAGCTCACTCTCCCATATGCACATGCAGACAAAGACTGTAAATCTTTAGGGTTTTATTTATTTTTCAAGGATGTAATTTCATCTTTTTATATAGGTAACCTGAATTCCTGATTTTAAAATAGCATAATGGGCCAAAGCAACATGAACAAATCAAGCCTCAGTAAATGGTCTTCTGAGTCAGCTTGCAAAGCATAAAACACAAATATATATATATATACTTAATATTTTATCATTGTACAGCAGGGAATTATAGAAGCAGATCTGCAATATTGGCCATTTAAAATCAAATTCTCCTATCTTGAAGTGCACTTCCATCACCACTGCCCACCCAAAATCATATTGCAGCAAATAACTTTTAAGTCACTGATTCTACAATTTCAGCTATTTGACAGTGTAGTCCAATAAAAGTGGCATGAGCTAATTTCATAGGAGCTTCAAAGATTTGTTTTGGATGAGGCAGCCACTTACTACAAGAAAAAAATCAAACATTTTCTTCTCCAAGCACAATATACAAGGAGTTTTTATCCATTATATGTTCATTTATTTTACACAGGTATAGGCTGAAGACTGTGGCCTTATCTGAAATATCTAGCATCATAATATATTTATTGAGTTTATTGATCACAGTCTGATTTTTTATCTTATCTTCCTTTAGCATTCCCATTAACCAGCATTTTGACATTCTTTTTGAACATAAAGGAAATAAAAAGATGAGAAAAACAAACTAGGTCATTATAAAGGTACTTGAGAACACTTCCAGCAGCAACCTGCAGGCTCAGGATCATTGTCAAGTATGATTTATGAAAACCTGTTAAATTTACCTAAGATAACTTGGAGGCAGACTAGGCTAGTAGACTAATAGCCTCTATAACTTAAAACTTATGGGATACAGTACATCCTTTATATAATAAAAAGGTTAACTTAGCTTGTCACAACACATAACTGAATTAACAGAGAAATTGAAAGGCTCTCAATTTGTGTGATTAAATAAAAAATACAGGGTGATAGCCAAGCTATTGCTACCATTCAATTGTTTTTTCTTGCCTCATCATGCAAAAATTAGATATTAAGTGTGCATATAAGAAAGTAATATAATCAAATGAATGCAGAGCTACCACCAAAAAAAATCTGCTATACACTGAGATTTCAGATCAGCCTTTTTTTCCTCTGCATTAATTAGGCCATTTGTATTTTAAAATACCAGTTAAATTAAGAAAACATTGCTTTTTGGCAGATTTTTGGTCTGCATATAATCAGTTTCTTGCTTTACCAAGAACTGGTCCCATTCCTTCTGGCCTACAGATGAAAACTCACCTCTCACCTTCTACTATTTGTTTCTCATGCACAAATTGTTCAGAGTTGAAAAGTTATTGCAAGTAGCTTGTGTGTACATATGCAAACACAAATATATGTGTTATGTTGGAGCTGTATCCTGTTCTGAGCCTAGACTAGGAGATGATCATGATGAACAGAAGATCCTTGTGAAGAATGCGAGACTCCTTGTTGCTGTGTTGCAAAATTAATGAATACCTGTAAGACATGATAAAAAGTAGGGTTTTCAAAATAAAAGTACTTGACTTTGGGGATAAAGGTGATGGTATTTCTTAGCTGCTCTCAGCTTTTTTGACAAAACAAGTAATAACTCATGTTGAGGGAACACCTCTAAAAACATATTTTTATAAACTCTAGAAATAATCCCTCTTCCCCTCTCCAGCTAAGACAGGGTTAATAAATGATAAAAATTATTAACTATTTCATACCAAGGTATGAAAAACACATTTTATGCACAAGTAAATATGAAACAATGGTTTTAATTTTCTTTGAATGATATACCTAAAGAATCAGAGTTTGTTGTTTCTGCCAATAAATATTACAATGAAGGCGCAAATATTTTGAGGTGAAAGCACGCTTCTGATTCAACAACTAATGAGCCTCCCTGATTTGGTTTGGTTTTTTGTTTTTTTTTTTTAAACACAGATCTTGCTATATAAAGGCTTGTTTCATTTTTAATGACACAACTATCTAACAGTAAGCCATGTAGAGGGAAAAATGGCTCTTCTTTATTCAAAGAGTCCTCTTCATATGCAAGCAAACTTGGGCTGTATTAAAAGCGTGTTTGTTACTGCAAAGAACTATTTTCCTGTTTAAAACTGACAGTCAGGGAGAAGAAGTGGTGGTAGGTAACTGAGGTGATGCATCACCATGAAAAATGGAGAGGAAGTAAACCTGACTGAACAATGCCTGAAGAAACAGGCTGAAATTATCTTATATGCGTCATTGAGTGAATAGATAATTTACAAGTAGTTAGTAGACCAGCACAGAGGAGAATACTTCAATGATTTGCACATGGGAAAAAGGAACAATTTCACACCATCAGTCACAGAACATTAATATTTTGACTAGAGGTGTCTCTCAGTCTGCAGAATGAATAACAAACAGTTGCATATGAAGATGATGTAACACATCACAATCACCCAGAAATCCCATGCTCGCCATCAACGCAGTCTTCTTTTTCTCACAATAGGATTTAACAGTCTTTAGCAGTTGGGTCTCTTCTCTCTGTCTGTGCATTTAAAATTATCACAGGAAAATGTTCTGAAGGTATCAGGTTTACCACAATTTATAGAGGCCAGTTCAGCCTTTTCTAGGACATTGGTAAGATCCCAACTTTTGGACTGTGGAGGTAGCAGTTCACACTCCCACCTTGTCATCCCACACAGTTCCAGATTCATCTAAGTACAGATTATGTTTGTGCACACTACAAGCATGTGGCTTGCTGTGTTGCTTTTACTATGCTCACCTCTGGTGTAAAAGCAGTGTGGGACATGGTATCACTGTGTGACCTGAGATTGCACACATTTGGGTAACCCAGCAAATGATAGATTATTCCGCTACATCAACAACTACAATACACAGCATATTTAGATGACAAAATTTTAAAAAATTAAAAAAAAAAAAAGCAAGTATGGGGGCAGGGAAACAAAGGAAAATGATAAAATACCTGCTCTAATGTGGTTTGGCTAATGGAGTAGTGTTTGATTTGGAGAAAAGCTTTGTGATTCTCTAGGACTCTGAAGAGCTCTGCTAAGCATCCCTGACTTCTTGGTACATGGTACTCAAGCAGGTTAAGATGTTGTCCCTAAAAACAAGCAAAAATTATAAAAAAACAGATAAAAGTGAATGTATTTTGTGATGAAGCTACACTTGCTTATAATCAGGCTACCTTCAATAGGCTCTTATTGCAGATTTATACGGGAAATATGAGCTTTTAAAAAATAACTTATTTTGTCTACATTCATAGCACAAAGAATGGTTCATAGTTAGAGCACACATTTTGTGAGGTGATGGTTTGTTAATCTCATAAAAGATATAACACTTTAGGGCAATTTAAATCTAACAGACTAGTGCTGTTTCAATGAAGTCTGGGAAAAGGCTGAACATATACAGATGCACAGCTGTCTGAGCTCAATACAGACTTATACCCACAAAGAGGTTCATATCTAAGATAGACATTGTTTCCCATGAGTTTTTCCTAAACAAAGTTAAAGTAAAAGCTTTTAAGAGTTTTCATTGAAATGTAATTGCTATAGGTCATTTCTAAGACTTTGTATTAAATCAAACAATCTCAGTAAAGTCTGAGACTTATTAACTCTGGGCTTTATCAGAAAGCAATCAAAGCAAATACTCTTAGTGACTACACTGTAGTTCTATTTCAGATGAACACAGATTTGAGTCCAATTTCATCAATAATAAAAGCAAAAGGAAATTATCAGTTGGAGAAAAGGCCTTTTTATTTGCATTGCCTAAATTCCTGTTTGGAGTTGATTTAATCAACATCACAAGCCAAATTTTTATTAATTGCTTATTAGAAAAACAAAAGGGATATTTATATGTACTTTTCAAATGTACTTACAATATACCCAAACATGCAAATATCCAAACATACATACTGTTTTTACCAGCCCCAAATTAATCCTGCCATACACTACAACATGGAATTTTATCTGTACCTTAAACTGTGTTCCTGGAAAATGCATTTGTAGACAGTCCAAAATCATTCTTCCATAACTTATTTCTTTGCTAAGCCAAACCTTGACAGAATAACCCTCTCCAAACCTGTGAATGAGACACAGAAACTTAAATCCATAAGAACACTATGAAGACAAGGAGAACATTTAGTTCAATTGATTTTCCTATCATTATATCAAATATCACACATGCCTACTGCATTATCGCTGTGATTTTACTATAATGCTATTGAACAACAGAACTTCAATGAGAAAGTTTTAAAATTAATAACAGAGACAATAGACATGCTATGCCTAATTTTAGTTACTAGTGTATTTCACTACTTAATATACCTGAATTTTTGTTAAGTAAACTGTTTTAATTGCTATATTGCTTTGAGCAGTCAGTATAAAACTATGAGAATTACCAATCCCATATATAGAAAAAGAGAAAAAATCCTTCAACTTTCTAATGAGAAAAAAATGGGCATATAACATTATTTTTCAAATCTGTTAACAAAGCTGCACCTTCAAAAGAAGATTTCAGAAGTGTGAGTACAATGGTATTTTAAAGATATGCAAAGACAAGTGTAGGGATATTTAGGGATATGGCAAAGTTAACAAATTTTCTTTGACTTCTATGACCCTGCAATCTCTCTCAGAATAATTTAGGAAAATAACTTCTCTTTCTTAACACAAATGTGATAAAATTTAAATACAGATAAAATCTCACCAATGATATATTTTTTATTAGCTTTACTCACTGCTGATTGTTATTTGGGAAAGTTGCAATAAACCAGTGAACACTGAAATGACAACTGTTGGGAAGGATAGATAAATATGATTAAGAACCACAATAGTACAGCCAGGATGAATATAACGCCCCCTACTGGCTGGACAACAATCTTACCTACAGAGGGGTCCAAAAGTCAAATGGACTGTTCCATCTCACCCCCCAGAATGTATGGTTCACCCCACACCTGTAACCCTCCCCTGAAACATCAACTGTCTGTAACCCCATTGGCCCAGGTCCTGTTACAGCCCACCTTGAAGCCCCCCTGATAAGGGGTCTCTGGGGGGCAGGATGCTCTCTTGGATCTTCCCCTCCCCTCTTGGAACTTCCTCCTGGATTCCCTGCTCTTCCCTTTGTCTCTTACCTCCCCCATCACCTCAGGCCTGTGCCTAGCAGCTCAAGGCAGGACCTCTCTCCATCCCGAATAAACCTTATCCTCCAAGAGCAGCCAACAGAGATCTCTCGTCTGTATCCACCCAAACCATCCACAGAGCCTCAAACGTCTTTACAGACAACTATGTTCTTATGCACATTTTTTACACAATGGAGGTTGTGCTGCACCAGTCCCCTGACTGGGGTGCAGAGACATGGGACAAAAAGGGGCTTTGCTGCACCCTTTCCCTCCTTTGCAGCTACATGTCCTCCTTCCTTTGGGTTCTTCTTCTTGTTTAATTGCTAAGGAAAAACATCAGCGTGAGTCACATCAGAAGAGCTTTCCACTGCTATTCCCTGCTGCCAGTGAGCAAGGGAAAGGCAGGGTTGGAAGGGGGACAGGGAGCCTGGTCAGCACAGCCCATGTCTCCCCAGAAACCTGTCACTTCCTCTATCTTTCCACTGACCAACAGCCCCACATCCTTCATTCCAGCTTAACTCCCTTCTATTCATTCTCCAGTGTGGCAATTGCTCATTGCCAAACCTTTTATTCCAGTGGTTTGGTTCCTAGTGATTACCTCTGTAATATGCTCTTGTGCCAAAACCCACCTCTCTCATGTCTTTCCTGTGTGCAACTCATGATTCAGAGGAGCAGCTGGCTTAATTGGGTCTGACTGGTGAGAGGCAAATTTTCATGTCATCAAAGCAGAGGATATCTCACAGCATGCTCTACAATGCTGCCCTATTTCAATACATTAAGAAATGTCTACAGATTATCAATCAAAATGTAAAAAAAAAAAAAAAAGAAAGAACTATTTTGAGATATATGTCCAGTTTAACCAGTGCATGAGTGATTCCCAGCAAAATATTCCATATTAAACACCACATTTTCCTCACCTATAATAAGTATATAGCAATGTAAGGGCTTTAACTTTTATTTTGCAATGAGTCAGAAACTCTGTTGTTATAAAGGAACAATTGGCATTTATTTAAGAGCACTGCAAGTCTCCAAAATGAAAAAAAAATAGACTGTAGATTTTATTCTATTAAGAATTTCACATGAATTCAAAATACAATTTCCAAGTATCTCAAAAATCCTAATTTTTTATGTAGCACAAGACAGTGGCAGCTTCTGCGTAAAAATGAAAAGCCTCATTACAGATATATGAGAGAAGGGTTTTTTAGCTTTTGCTTGCTTGTGGGTTGTTTTTTTGGTTGTTGGGTTTATTTCTTTGGCTTTTTTATTTTTTTATATGCAACCATTGAACTACTTGAAATGGAGTAAGAAACATCCTGATTCAGCGTCCTGTGTGTTAATTCCTGAAAGATGCTTCATGAACTAAATTGTATTGAGTCCAAATAGCAGAGTACTAAATATTTCCTGAAGAGTGTAGCCTGACAGACAAACAGTGCTGATTCACCAGAGATCCAGAATTAGGTGGAATCCAAAGGAGTTTCTGGCAGATTTGCTTTGCAATGATTTACTATGCTTTAACTAGATCTCTAATTAAATATTTTAAATGCATAGCATCATCCCTGAAAAAAATACATGTGACAGTAAAAAAAGTTGTTACAAAGATGGATATAGTTAACAAGGGTATTCAATTAAGTTGACAGCTAACCTGAGGCAGCATTTTACAAGAGATCATTGATTCTGATCATTTTTTTGGCATTTCTATACAATGACCATTGAATTACAGTTTGAAAAATGCTGGTTTATCGAGACATTCAACAGTCTCATAAAATGAAATTGCTGTATGCAATGAAGTTTCCAAAGAAAATGAATCAAAATTCTGATTAGCAAAGACAGAGGAGTCTGTGCAACTTTGGTTTAGTTCTGAATTGTGAATGGCATAAATGCAAGCATGGCACCAATAAAAAACTATAAAAGATTTTCTTCTTTTGGCTAGTCGAAATATGATGCTTCTATACCTTGATTTTATACTTCATTTTAGTACAAGAGCTCCCATATAGGGTAAGATGATCAGCAATAAACATTTCCCCCTGCTATAATCAGCAAGCTGCTTTTGGCAGTGCACTGAGGAAATGGAAACTGAGTTGACCATTTTGTTCGCTCTGTTTTCCTCTCTGATTCAGACAATTTAATTAATTCAGAAACCCAAAGTGGAATTACAGAGAAAACCACAAACCGGGTTTGATTAGCACGGTTAGAAACAAACCTTTAGTACCTGATAATTCAAGACCTAAAGAGGAAGATATTATCATTAGAATGGCCTAAGTTGAGCCAGCAGACTCATTCAGCAGCCATCTGCTGCAAAAGATTCTTCATTTCTTCAAAGCTATTCAACAGAGAACAGATTGTATACTGCCGTGTTACTTTAACAACACCTACATTTCTATTTTTGCATAAACAAACACACAAAAACCACATATTCTGACAAAATTTAATTTTTTTTTTTTCTATCCTTCCTCTTCCTCAGTCAAACTACTAGCTCATGCTCTACTTTCAGCTTATTAAATGGTTCTGGGAGTACAACTTATTGAGTGTTTTTCTGTTAAAATGCCAACATGAGACTGAAGCTAAAATATAAATTTTCAAATTTACTGTAAACTAATTAACTTGACTATTTAAAGACATCATCAGCTGCAGAAGCAGGAACTTAGCAAGAACTACAAGTCCACACTTCTGATTTACATAGGTCCTCAAGGTATCTGAGCACTCAGATAACAAGGGAACAAAAGAAACATAAAAAGGTAGCAAGGAATGGAACTATTTCCATACCAGGAATTACTAAATAGGCTAAAACTATTCATCATGAAAGAAAGATGACACGGTTGTCAAAAGGTATTTTTAGGGAGTCCAGAATCATGACTAAGCAACGAAAATTAGAAATAATTCTTCACTCCTGTAAAAGCAAAGGACATAGAGTAACATTATAGGAAAAGAAATGCCGAGTCAGTAAGATCATGTAATCTACCTTACATTATGAGGAGAAAATGTACAACTCCTTGACATGGGATGTGCTAGATGTCAGAACTTGAAATTAGTTCAGTAGACACCAGAAAAACTCATGGTGGGGATCCACTAAAATCACTTCTGACTTAAGAAGCCTCTAAAAAGGAAACTGCTGAAGGCACTTCAACAATGTGGTAATGTAACTTCCTGTGCTTAGCTTGTTCCCGTTTTCCCTTTTGATCACTTTCAGAGAGGGAATACTGTGCTAGCAGGTGTGCAATCTGATCTCAGGCTTCTTTTGATATAAATATCCCCAAGAGGAAGTTATCTTAGGTAAATCACCCAAATGGTTCCTCAGTTCTCTGAAGAATTTTGCAGCCCCACAGCCACACTGCCAGCAGTACAAAAATAGTTTATGTAAATCAACTTCAGATATGTTTCTACACAAGCTCCAGTCGCACACTGAAATAAAGTGTAACCAAATCTATATTGAGGAAGTCCCCTGGATGCTTTTCAGGTCCTGTTTTAACCTTGTAATGGTAATGGAAGTGGATTTAGTGGCCCAAAGTCTGAAAATTCTCATGAATATCAAGGAGAGGAGCTGCCACTTGGGGCAGGGTAGCTTCTCAATGTTCTTTTCTGCCCATTCCTTGGAGGTCCTGGTTCAGAGGCTTGAGTGGGGACAAGAGTTCCTGTTGAAACACAGCTGAGCCTGCATTTGGCCACAAGGAGTCCCTAGAGGAATTACCCCAATGTGTTTTCTTAAGCTTGACCCACGAAAACCTCTTTTATGTGAAGGGTGAAAAAGAAAGTACACTATCAGCAGACTTCTATTTGCTTAAAAAAAAAAAAAAAATCTCTGTTTTCATTTAAAAGGCTTAAAAGTTTACTCAAATGAACAAAACCAAACTTTGAAACCCCTGTTTTAAGTTACAGCTGGTCCAGCATAAACAGCTCATCAAATCACACTCTTCCCAAAGCCTATTTACCAACTCTTCTCTCCCCCAGTAAAATTTGCTGAATGTAA